GTCTCCACAATAAAGATTAATTCAGTCTCCAAATCTCCTACCATCCCCTGGGAGAGATGTATTGTGGTTATGACCGGGGCATGGTCTGAGATAGTTATCTCCGCTATTTGTGATGATTTTATACTTTCTAAATAATGATGATTTATGAAAATATAGTCCAGACGTGAATATCTACTGTGTACCATAGAATAATAAGAATAGTTCCTATCCTTTGGGTGCAGGATTCTCCATGTGTCTACTAGTTGCATCCTATTTAGGAGTTTTTTCAGGGTTGCTAGTTTTTTGTATGAGATATTAGAGTGTCGCGCCGAGGTATCAATCAGAGGTTCGAGCGCGACATTCAAATCGCCCACAATTATTAACATCCCTTCCGCAAAATCAATGAAGCATGAGATAACATTAGAAATGTAGGCAATCTGTTCTTGATTCGGACAGTATATATTGACCAATGTGCATGTTGTGTTATTTATGGACCCCTTAATAAATAGGTATCTGCCCTGTTCATCAGACTGCATGTCTGAGTATGTGAATAGGACATTTTTATGAATACCAATGGCCACCCGCTTAGCTCTGTTAGTATCTGATAGACTATAGTACCAGTGTGAGAATATATTCTTGCTGAGTCTGGTGGTGGTGGTGGTATGTGTCAGATATGTTTCTTGCAAGAAGACTATATGTCCATCCATCTGTTTTAATTCCCTCATCACTTGATGTCGTTTGTTCTGAGTATTCATTCCCCTCACATTATATGTTAGTAAATTAATCGAGGTCATTTATTCCCTGAATAGAATAGTTCCAACTGCTTAATGAGTTCTCAGACGGGATGCCAATTAAAACTAACATAACAAAACAAAACATAATTCCCCATGGAAACACATTAAAACTAACATAACAAACAAACATTACTAAAAATACTGTCCTATACCCATTGGGGGACAGTGGTAAACATATAATACTGGTGCACATCAGTGCAGGAACCATCTTTATTCCCCCTTCCCCTATAAAAAAGGGGAGAGGAAAGATAATGGTCAATATTCAAAGGGTGGGGCTATGAGTGTTGCCGAACACCATTCCAGTTTAACCTCCTAATTTATTAATAGTTGGAGTGCCTTATTAAGTCCATAATGACACAGATTCTCCTGTTAAGCGTTTCAGTCACTCTTCTTTCAGATTTTCCTTATGGAAGCAGGAGGGGAAAAAAAGGGAAGGGAGAGAAAAATGTGTCTTTTGTGCATTCAGATGTTAATCTGCTCTTATTATCAATACATCATTTCTTTACAGGTGCAGACCATCTCCGGTCTGGCATCTGTGGAATCGTAATGCTTTCATTTCTCCAGCCTGAGAGATTAGGTGCAGCAATCTCAAGCTTCATACAAAACGATTCTATCTCCTCTGGGAAACGTAAAGCCACGGATTGCCCGTTTTTCCTGACCATTAGACTGAACGGGTAACCCCATCTGTACGGTATATCCGCTGCTCTAAGATTGTCTAAGAGTGGCTTAAGCAGTCTCCATCTGGCTAATGTTTCCCCAGCTAGGTCTGAAAAAATTAACAGTCGTGTTTCCTTAAAATCGATGTGTGGGATGGTCCTTAGATGTCTCATTATTTCCATTTTATCCTCAACAATGCATTCGGCATATAATTTCACGTGGTATATCCATAGTGATACATTTTAAACGTCTTATTCTATGTATGTGGTCCAGGCACAAAGAGGTAATCTCAGAGCAGCCTAAAATCTGGTTAAATATCCCTTGCAGAGTGGTTTCCAATTCAATATCAGGTATAGATTCAGACAGGCCTCTGATCCTCAGATTATTCCTTCTGCTACGATTCTCCAAATCTTCTATTTTGAACAAAGCAGATCTATATTGTTTAGTAATTATCCCCAATGTTCCCTGTAAGTCATGCATTAGTTTCTCCTGAGAGTCCAATCTCAATTCATTTTCCTCCACTCTTTTTTAAAAAGATGGGAGAGATCGCCTCTAACCTTCGCCACTTCATGTTTAATGGAACATTCTAAGTTTTGAAGCATTTGTGCAATGTCAGATTTACTTGGCAGAGAACCGGGTATGCTCTCCAATTCAATGTTATCTCCATGTCCAGCTATTAGAGGGGGTATAGCCTCATTAAGGGAATCATTAGGGGAATCCGTAATTATCTGTTGTAAAGAAACCCCAATAGGGGGTCTTACCTCTGCATGTGTCATTTTCCATCCGTGAATTGGTGTCACTGGCTCCTCCTGCGCTTCCTTTTCTGCCATCTCTGCCATTAGATATTTCCTCAGCGTCCCTGGTGTTGAGGCACCGGCACCACCAGACCTCCGTCCCCTCTTGTGCCTCATTACCGGGGCCCTGGGGTCTCTAGCAGCTCAATGTAGACACGGTCACTATGTGTGTGCTGCAGCGTGTACCCCAGCTATGCAGGGCAGGGCAGGACAGCTCGGTGTTCTCCCCCCTCTCCCCTTCGCTGCAGTCCGCGGTCCACGGCCGTTCGGAGTAAGCCACGCCCTCTTAGTCTCGAGCGGCTCCGGGACAGGTCTCCAATAGTCCCCAGTGATCTCAGAAACGTCAGCAGGTCGGGGCAAGACAAGATAGGGCTGGGCAAGGTAAATCTCCTCTGCCTCTCACCTTCCCTCGCAGTCTCTCTCACGGTCTCTCGCTGCCTCGCACTCCACTTGCTTTCCGGCGTTCGGCGTCAGCCGCGCCCCCCTTTAGGTCAGCTACGCACCTTCCGGGTCAGGCATCAGCTCCCCCATTTGCCAGATTGTTAATCTAGTTGCCTGTCACTTTGCCCCAGCCAGGGACAACGACTGTGTAACGATGCCACAGAGCAGCTATACCCTTCTAAAGAAGCACTAGGAGACTCCCCATCACTTCCTCAGGATTTTTTTCTGCAGAGATCCTTGTAGGAAAAGCAGGCAATCCTACAGATTACACCTCAGGGCCAGAGCAAAAACGATATAGAAATACATTTGTTTTTATTTGTTTTATGCTCATGCGCAAGCTACAGTACATATGTGAAGAATTTACTAGCAAGGGTGGTTGGCTGTGGAGTGTACACTCCAGTATTGAAACATACAACAGCTAAGCTGCTGGGTAACTAAAATAAAAATATGATTTTCGCTAATGTTTTTGAAGTGTGAACAAAGGGAAGAGCAATTAGAGGCCCCAATCTACCACTATTATAGCATCTCTTTCCTTGTAGCTTGTGCAGCACAGCAAAAAAGCTTCAGAGATCGATTCATACATACTCTTTGACTAAGGACTTCTTAAGACACGGGGTTGTTGTCAGCAATCTCCCAACCAGATACTAAGGATCATAATGATGTGTGGTGGATAGATGTGGACTAAAGTGGCTGATAAGTTTTCATAGTGCTTTCCTTTGTCAGAAACACAAGTGACATGCGTGGCACATGCATGGCATACCCAATGGTATGTGTTCCCTACATATTGCTATGTTTTTCTGACAAAACGCTTGCAATAAAGCAATAAGAAAACTCATAAGTTGTTTCAACCCACATCTATCCACCATGCATTATTGTGTTCTTTCAACATCTTCCTGTGAGCTTGTCTACAGCTACCCATTGTCGAAGAAATTATGTGTAACTCAATCTCCTAACCTTGCCTGCTGTACTGCACATCTGCATATGACAGCCAGGATACAAGGTGAGTGATACCATATTAGCAGTATTCGACTGATACCTCTACTAAGCCTACTCTTATAAGTGCTCTTCCCTTTGTTCACACTTTAGATACCATTGCCCTTTTGCTAAGGATGAGGATAAGCAGCTTCTACAGATCTAAGAATTACCAGCTGCACAGCTACTTCTTTCCGAGACATTACCCAAACGCTAACCTACCCAGTGTGAGGTATTTCTGTATCATTGACTCATTGACTCTAAGGTTTTTGAGTCTACCTAAGTGTTGCTAGCATTTCTAAATGCACATACCATGTATGAATAAAATCACATCAGTCGTGCATGGCTGGAGAATGTAAAAATCAGTGAGCTAAGCATATGCGCAGAATTTCAAGAACTAGTTAGCATATGAGATTCTATGAATTTTTTTTCGGTGCTCCTCATAGTAACAGGAGGTATAAATTCAATGTTATGTTGATTTTTGTTTGATAAATTCTTTATTTTGAGATTTTAAAAACATTTTGTAGACAAAAAAAGATTGTTAAGAACAATTACAAAGAAGTAGGTAAGACAGCCTTAAAAACATCAAAGAGAAAAGAAGGTCCCAATATGTAGGGGTCCAGGAGTCAGTGAGCAAAACAACATCATGCGGTATTTCTGACGATACAATGAGATAGATTCACGGCCTATTCATGTCAGGAATACAGATGGTTACTGTGTGTCATAGTACATATAAGGTAGATCACAGGGTCCTCTCTACACAGGGAGATGAAATTAGATTGAAAGAGAGAAATATGTAGAAGCAAGAAGACAAAAAGAGGGGTTATGTTGATTTTTAATATGCATGGCAATTTAGGACTGCTCCATATGCATTAAACATGAGTGTAAGATAAACTTGATAGTTTTATGGTCGTTATACTCATACTATAAGGGCCAATACCCTTAATCCCCGTTCATTCATTTCTATGGCCCCTGTTCACAGCTGAGAATTTTGTCCCAAGCAGAAAAATGTCTGTCGCGCATTTTTGTCTCATGTATTTCAATGGGTAACTTTGTGTGACAAAACGTGCAACAAAATGCCAGGTGTGAACAGGGGCCATATAAATGAATGGAATTCCTTGTTGAGCATTTTGTCATGCTTAGCTGTGAGCGACAAAATGCCTAGGTGTGAATAGAACCATGACTTATCTCTGCTCTTGTTTATTTTGTTTGATAAATCAGTCTTATCGTAAAAAAAAAAGAATTGACTGTAATTATTTCAGTAAGCTTGTAAAGTGTGTAGTTAGCAAAATTTCCCAGTTACAAAATATAAAAGCATATCTTGTAATACCCATGACTAATAATATTTTTTTTTCTTTTACAGCTTGTGGCCAATGCTATTCTTTTTGTCAGTGTGAATTTGTCTGGGGTCTTCGTGCGGATTTTGACAGAAAGGGCCCAGAGAAAAGCATTCCTTCAGGCCAGAAACTGCATTGAGGACAGACTCAGGCTAGAGGACGAAAATGAAAAACAGGTCAATTAAAAATTTCTGTCAGTTTGTGTAGTATTACACTTTAATGTTGAAGTTTTCATAGTTTGTTTAACTCATACAGTAATTATGTTTGTGTGCATGTGTGTTTGTTTATGCTTAGCATATGTATATTTTATATATTTTATATGCAATATATTTATTACAGTATGTCATTTTAAAAGATTAAGTACACAAAGGAAATTGTTATATCTATATTATATGTATGTTATATTTTAAAGGAATCCATAGCAAGGTAAAGGATGCTTTGACATGTAGTATTTTATTAGGTTAAGTGACGTGTTGCCACCAAATCCATATTTATTCTACAATATGATACCTCTGGGCGCAGCCATATTGAAGAATTATATGCAGTATTTTGAATTTTAGCACCTCCTTGGGTATTAATTATAACTGAACAAGGAAACAGCATAAGCATATTGCTGTTATTGTGTAGTTAGCATGTAGTGGACACAAAAATAAAACTGCGGACCTGAAATAGAAAACAATGATATCACCTGTATGTCATGGAAGTGTGTCACAAGACTATGGGGGACTATGTCCCAAAGACCGAAATGTCATGCTAACTAGCTGCAGAGTTTTATCTCTGTTATGCACCTTTTTCTAAAGGGGTTATTCACTAAGCTGCTGAAGGATTTAGCCAAACGTTCGGCTAATCCTTTGGCTCGCTCCCATTGCAGAAACCTTTCAGTTCAGCTGAACTGAAGGGCTGCTGTACACTCTATTCACATTAGCCCATACAGCAGCCAAAAGCAGGAAAGGTAAACAGCCGGGCCGAACGCACATGCTTTGGCTCAGCATAGCCGGAGCTGGGAGAATGGTCCGTCAAAGCACTGGGGGTCCTTCTTAACATTTCTACCAGACCTAAAGGGTCTGGTATGATTTAAGATTGGAACCCCATGCTTTTTTTTCTTTTTTACTGTAACATACAGTATTTCATTCTGTTCGTTACGTAGCAAACAGAAAGGCCGAGCCGAATGCTGAGCCGTGCATTCAGCTATTCACTCTCTGTTGTTCAGCCCCTTTGAGAATAGGGGTGAACAGCAGGGACTGAACTGCTGAACGTTTATCTCAGCCGATCCAGATGTTGCATGGGCTGAGGCGAATGAGTCGAACTGAAGGAAGGTGCAGTGAGCCGAATGCAGCCGATGTATGGCTAAAAATAGCCATACAGGGCTGCAGTGAATAGCCAAAGAGGCTTCAGCTCACTTCACTTCGATTCGGTTAGTCATTCGGCTGCCCGTGGCAGCTTAGTGAATAACCCCCTAAGTGTTCTTGCAACATATTTTTTGTGACATTTCACATAATTTCTTAACTGCACAGTAATTGTGTCCAGCATTTGTGAAATTAAAAACCCTGCAAACTGTTTCACATTCTAGAGGTCCTCCTGAGTATCGCAAAGATAACTCAGCTAAGCACTTCAGGGCTATTCAGCTGTCATCCTGGAGGTTCCCTGCAAGCTTGCGACAGTTTAGAGACAGTTTAGATACTGGGACAATTTTAAGAACATTCTCCTAATGAAGGCATTTAAGAATGACACATACGCTAGGATAATAAATGCTATATGCACTAGAAATCAGGGATGCAACCATTTAAAGGATGCAGATGATGCAACCAAATTGATAAATTACCCTCTATATCTTCTGGCATGTAAAAAAATGTATGAATTCCAACTGTAGTAATATGTTTGCTCGGGGTTCTGCCATACAACTAGTAGCTGTCTCTATTAATCTTTGATGTCCATGTCCTAGCCTAAACTGTCTTGTCAGTATACACTGAGTGGCCAGATTATTATGACCACCCCATCAGTACTACGTTGGGCCACAAGATGACTCCAGGAGATCACTTTGTTGGGCTGCCTCGTGACTCCACAAGATGTTGAAAGGTGATGCGAGGAATCTGACACTGCACTGTTGCCCTTCTGTTGTCTAGAACCAGTCTTGTCACTCTCCGTTCTGCCCTAACATTGACTAGTCGCACGTTCAGAGCCAGATTTTCGGCTGACAGTCCAGTCTTTAAACACTTTAACAACAGCTGCTCTTGAACATTTAACGAATTCTGCTGTTTTGCTGATACTCGCTCCATGGCTCTGCGCCAACAATCATCCCACGTTCAAAGGCGGTTAAATCGCGTTGTTTTTCCCATATCTTCAGAAAAAAATCACTTCTACTGTCGTGGTAAACAACCGGCTTCCCTATTTATCATGGTCTGGCCCTCTAGCAACTTCAGCACGAAATTATAGCTAATTTGCCTACAAACGTCAGGTTTAATCTGGCTACTCAGTGTATATAACCTGTATAATAATAATAATATAAGTACATAAGATTTTTCTTAGGACCCCTCTAGTGCTGTTCATGTGACCACAAGTCTAGGCATTTGGTTGTGTAATCTCTACTACCACTATGCAGGCATAGCTTTTTAATGCTGCTTCAGTAGCACGGTGTATAGGAAAAGCCCTGAGAAAATAATTAGTATGGTTTCAATGGTTGGAATGAATGTGGTTGTATAAACCACATACATGTTGTTATGCTTCCATGTTCCAAGAAGGTGTTTTTTTGGCTATATCTATAGGTCCTCTGTGGGAATTGAACTAGAATCACAGGAGAGCAATACAGGGTGTTCCATTCAGTGTGTCTGCATAATGATTTATCCAGGAACAATAACATTAAAAAAAAATTAGGATCCCCTTAAATTACCTATATGGGTATATCTATTCATATGAATTCATAAGTATTAGGGATGCACCGATACCACTTTTTTAAGACCGAGTACCGATACTTTTTTCAAGTACTCACCGATACCAATTACCGATACTTTTTCTTAAAGGGGCAGGTCACATTTTTTCTAAAGCAATACAAAATAATGATTTTAGGTCAGTTTCTTCATATTATGAAGAACATGAACATGAAATGAATATTTATCATGCCATTGCTAACTAAGGCTTGTATCCCCCTAGTGGGGAAAATAGATGCACATGTCCAGACACTGTATTCTATAGTGTGGCACAGCCCTATCCAATTCTGCATACCTGGCTTTTTATTATACATTTTTTATAATATAAAGCCAGGTATGCAGAATTGGATAGGGCTGTGCCACACTATACAGTGTTCTGGAGTCTGGACATGTGCTCATCTATTTTCCCCACTAGGGGGATACAAGCCTTAGTTAGCAATGGCAAGATCTACTTATTAATTTCATTATTTAATGTCTTTTAAAAAAAATATTATATAAAGTTAAACAACATTACAGGCATATATTATTTTTGTTCCATGTGCCCAGCCCCCATGCGGTGCTGCAGTACTAATAGAAAACGATTTTGTTTCTGCCTGGAGATCCGAACCATTTAAATTACCCTTTATCTCATTTTTGTCAACCAGATCCGTAACCAAAATGAACCCTATATACCAAAAAGATAAACCAGCTAACAAGAGTGGCTGGTTTAAAAAGGGTTAACAGAGGATCGGGACAAGTATTCCAATTACAAAAAGAGTTTATTAGATAAAATATCAGTTTTGGACATCATATCACTAACTGGTTTAAAAAAACACAAAAAAAGCATGACATACAATTATAGATCTTCAGGTATGCAGATCTGTTTGTATAATGTGCTCTCATTCATATATGCTAATCAGCTGACACCAAAGGATAATACGTTTCATATAACGTATTATCCTTTGGTGTCCGCTGGTATCTGAAATACACGTATTAATCTCCAGTGGGAGATTAACAAGGAAGTTACATAGTACCTCCTTCTTAAAAAATCAGTTTCTTTCCCACATGGTTTCAGCTGATTAGCATATATGAATGAGAGCACATTATACAAACAGATCTGCATACCTGAACATCTATAATTGTATGTCATGCTGGTGAGGAAGCCTGTCAATCATCCAATCAGCCAATCAGCGGGGGAAGAGGTCAGAATGGAGCAGATGACTGAGGACTTGGAGGAGGAGTTTGCGGCCATCTTCTTTCATTGAAGACGCGATGGAGGTCCTGTGTGCGATGGTTTCGGGTCCCTGAAGATGGCGGACGCGGCACAGGTACTCGTTTTTTGTATCGGAGTATTTGCACGAGTACGAGTACTCATGCAATTACTCGGTATCGCCACCGATACCGATGCTGGTATCGGTATCGGTGCATCCCTAATAAGTATAGTTTGTAGCAGACAATGTAAACTTTAATCTTGTACCTTTTTTAACAGTTGCGCGTATGTTTCTGTGCCACCCTGTGCTGGTGTTAACCATGCAAATAGTCATTTTCTAAAACTTGCTATTTGTATATCCATAGATAACCCCCCTTGCCCTCCAAGTGGCATTGCATGCTGATAGGTTGTGCAGGCATGTATCTTCTCCATTGTCTAGAAGGAGGGCTGTAGGCACTGCAGGAGCTGGCTTTGTAAACGTTAGAGCTGTCAGTCTTTGTTCTCAGCTACAATGATGCTATTAGTTAATATATGCAGATAATTCCATAGGTTTGCATTATTTTCTTATTGTTTTGGAGCAGTGTGCAGCAGTGTTGACTTCCAAGTAGGGATGCACCGATACTAATACTAGTATTGGTATCGGTGCCAATACCAAGTATTTGGGCGAGTACTTTTACTCTCCCAAATGCTTTGATACCTTCCCTGATACCGGAACTTCCGGTCAGAGGAAGGGGAACATGGAGCCAGCTTCCAGTGAGATCAGGAAGCTGGGCGGCGAGTAATGACCTGCCTCCCGGCTGCCTGATTGGCTGGGAAGCCAGCTCCATGATGCTTTCCAGCCAATCAGCATCGAGCCGGCTTCCCGGCCAATCAGGAAGCTGGGAGGCGGTCATTACTTGCCTCCTAGCTTCCTGATTGGCCAGGAAGCTGGCTTTATGCTGATGGGCTGGGAAGTTGGTTTCCTGGCCAAGCACAATCAAGCCGGCCAGACAACATGGAGCCAACTTCTTGGGCAATCAAATTGCCTGGGAAACCGGATCCATGCCAACGGAAGCACCGGTAT